ATCAGTCACAACCAGACATCATCCGGAGCATCAAATCCAACATATTAAACACAGTCAAAGGCTGTCAGAGAGAGACCCATTCCACAACTGTCAGGTGCCATAATGACAGTCAGTCTCTTCCAAGGTCTCCTTAAATGTGACACGAACTGCAGCAGCTAGCTAACTGACAGTGTGCACAACACCCGGCTATTTGCTCTAAAACGGATCTAATGACAGCTTATAGCTCAAAAATAATTCGCAAATGACAGGATCACTCCTACGTGATAGCCAAACTTTGTAATCCCAACACTTACCAAACTGATCCCTCTATATTTAACTGGTAGCAATAACCTTCTATCGGCATACATGCACCATGACTTTCCATGTGTGGCTACTTCCGCTTCCCGGTCGAGGAGCGCAACACTTTCCTGAATGAAAGAGGAGGGGGGTCGATAAACAGACGCGCGTTTAAACAAGCTATTAATTACTAATACGATATTTTTTTAATTTAATTATGTAACATTTTCGATATAATGGGCTCTTTTGGCCATTAAAAACTATTAAATACAGAGTAACCTAAAAATTAGACCGTAGTAAAACCCTGCTCTCCCTCTCTCGCTCAATAGTTCCGTCCCACTGAAGGTGACCTTCAGTTTATTGGTGTTCCTGCGCGCTATTACAGAACATGTGCGTTAGAATCTCACACACACAGTAAGCGGACAGGCTACTAACAACACTTTACACTGCTGATAATGAACGTTACCCTGTAAATAACAAGTAAAACATCTCTGGATTAATCTCTAGCGTTCACGTTTAAGAACTTCAGGTGGTCGTTTTATCCCAGATCTGCACTTACTATTGACTTTGCTACAGCAGACATACAGTTCACGTTCTGTGTATCTTGCTGAAAGTCTTGCTAAATTGCAATTAACTTTTTTTGTCAGACGAAATATTCAAATTAATTGTAGTACTGTTATATGTAAATGCAAATTGCTATAGTCCTAAATGACTGAAAAAGCTGAACTGGGACACATGAAATTACAATAAACACTTTTATTCTATTTGTGTCACTTCTGTGTGTGTGTGTATTCATGCAAAATAATACAGACATCAACTTACATTCACCTTTGCTATAGTTTACCATCCTATTGGCCTAAATTAGTCTCACCTATTAAAATGACACAAAAACACTTGATATAAATGGTTCAACAACACTAAATATTTATCCAGTAGTAACTAATGAATGAAAAAATCAGAAAGGAAAGCCTAATCACACCTTTGACACAGAATGGACATTTTATTTTAATTTTAGTTTGATAACCTATTGAGAAAACCCCTGTGAATGCGTTTATCTACAACTAAGCACCCTGATAAGATCCAGATCAAGAGCAGTACTTAAAGCACATTAGACCAGACATAAAAATGAATGGCCTGTACAAGGCTGTAAGCACCTACTTCCCTTTCAGAAACATAATGGTGTTTATGGGTGTACAGCAGACACCCCTGCAGTACTTTGCCTGTTTATGTCCTTTGATACCCTCTATCCAGTCAATCATACATCAGATCTCAACACTGATTTACTCTAAACTGCAATGGACTTATGTTAAAATACATCAAGATCAGTAAGATCAGAGTGAGCAGAGTGATTTCTGCATGCTACAGTGTACCTTAAATGGCTTTAAAGCTCACTTACCGCAGGCACATGGATCCTTCAAGGCTGTCTTGCTGGTGTCTTTGTCGTTTGCTGTCTCTCCTTCCCGGGCAAGATCAACGGGGTTGCAGCTGGGCACTGATGCTGGGATGTCATCCGTCTTGCTAACCATGATTCGTTTCCCACAAGACTTATTTGGTTTCGGAGTTCGCAACAGATGTCCGTCGCTGAGGGCTGTTGTATGGCCTTCTCCGTCAGAAGGAAGTTACATGCAAAGATATTACAAAAACAACTTAACTTGCGAAGGACAGTTCTCAGCCTGGCTGTCACACGTGGTTTCTCCTCCTCTTGACCTGCTTGCCTTTGTATTTGTCCCACCCACCAAACACACACGGCTACGGCAGCCCGATAGCTCCATTCGGAGAAGGGCGTTTTGCTGACTCGGTTTAACGTTGGATGTTTGGTGCGTTAAAAACAGTTCATTAAAATATGTTACGTCAACCAGGTTTGAAATTCCTGGCTGTAAATAAAATAAAAAAAGATAAAATACAGATATAGTGTCTGCGTTATATCTCAAAAACAATAGTAATTGCAGGTCCGGTTCTTTTCAAAGATCCGGTTTAAAAACGATACAAAAATGTTGCAAATAATTGTTTTAAACCCACTTTAAAATATTTAATGGTAAGCCTATATATCCTTCAAGTGAATTTGTGGAAGCAGTAATTGGATCCTTTTTATTTTTTATTTATATCATATTGTATTTGGGATGTTAATTCTAGGTCAATTCTTTATCCATAAATGTAAGTGCATGAAGACAAAACCTCTGTGTTTTACTTGTAGCTCTTATCCATCATTTCCAATATCTTAAGAGTTAACAGGCCTGCAATTTTGCAAGAATGATATTTAAGATGAACGAAGAGACCCGTCTTTGTTCATTTGTACATTTTACCCCAAATTCTATTGGTGTGCCTTGCTTTATTAATTTATTTGCACTTATGAATGCAATTATAAATGTGTAATTCGTTTATCATGTTTAATAAAAAAGCTATGTTGTGATTGTGTCATAGTTCCTGAAATCTCAGGCATATTCTAACCTTGCAATGAAGTCATATATCGGAACATATCTCTGTGTATTACAGAGTTTTACTAATAGGTGTGTTTATTTTAATTTCATGTGTCCCATTTTGGTTTGTTGCAGTCATGATTAATTCATTTTGGAAATGTCTTTTGTCTAAAAATATATTTTTAAATGGTATTTAAAAAAAAAATGAAAATCACCTTTCTTTCACTGAAAAAATGTAAGTCTTATTTACAACTTTTTTTTACAGAATATGTGTAAAACTGTCATGTATTTGAGTCAGCAACATATTTTCAGTATGTTTTATTAGTAACATTTCTGCTGTTTGGTTATAAAACTTGCTTTAAATGTAATGAAGCGAAGATTTCCTCTTGAGTACGGCTTTACATTTCAGAGTGATTAGAGTGATGAAGTCAATGATGTTGATATGCTGATAAAAATGAATAACGACTGACACAGCGGTTAATAAACCCCTTTAATCATATTATAGAGTAAGCAGTGGATTATTTATTGCAACATTATTGTTGCACAATGTTCTGTGTGCCGTTTGAATTGCTGTGTACATTTCAAGACTTTCCGAATTGTTTGTGAAACAGGACACTGATGTCTGTTATTGGCCATTGGCCAAACATGCAAATACAGTGTGTTAACATTACTGCAGTTTCCCATGGAATTTGGTTCTAATCAATTCTTTCGCAGTCATATTCCTGTCCTTTAAAACAAGACAACTTATATAGCTGTTTTAAAACCTCTACCACATAACAGTCAGTTTAAGGGAAGACAGGTTATTCCATACTTAAGGACAAAAAAGTCAAATCAAATCAAATCTTGGTAAGCACACTGCTCATGAAAATGGGGACTACAAAATAACATCAGACAAAAACAGATATTGCATGTACTGTATCTATGGATTATGGTTTACAATTCACCATAATGTTAAAAAATGTATGTTGTAAATATAATTATGTAGAAGTCATCTTGTGAGGCAGTATTGCTTATCTCTTTAACACCACAATTATAAATAACTTAAGAACAATTAAGCATTTCATTAGCATCAATATGTTTCCAAGATAAATCATTAAATTGAAAAACAGAAATCTATTAATTAACTAGTGGATGTGATTATATGATGTATCACAGTCTAGCACAACCAACTTGCATTCTAAATCCTCCTTATCTCTGCACTGATACAATACAAAAACTGGTTATGGGCCTTTTAAATAGTGTCAGGCATATGTGTATACATTTACAAAATAAGGTTTCAGACCCTGAGTGAAGCAAATATCACTTTGTTAGGGATGTGTCAAATTAGACACAATTTTAAGATGAAAGGAAAACATCTTATGCATTCAGTAACAATCCCTGGGAGGGCTGCTGATCATATTAAGGGTTTTAACAACCATATATTCAATATTCAAAGCAAAATTATCATCTGTTCTAATAAAGCAAAGAGAAATACCAAATATACAATTGTAAATATCTTTAGAAAAGCTCAGTTTCAAACAGATGCTACTAAATCTTTTACTGTCACATTATTTTGCAAAATGATGTTTGTTGTCACAGGCTTGTAACACAAAGGTCCTCTATAGTATAGCCTACTTTTTAGGCCCCATTATTAAAAGAATAGTTCACCCGAAAATTAAAATTTGAGAGAAATCTAGCATTGCATCACTTGCTCCCCAATGGATCCTCTGCAGTGAATGGGTGCCGTCAGAATGAGAGTCCAAACAGCTGATAAAAACATTACAATAATCCACAAGTAATCTACATGAATCCAATACATCATGTTTGTGAGAAATAAATCCATCAACGTGCTTTAACTTCAAATTATTGCTTATGGTTAATTTATAATACAAGTCCTCTATCCATGATATTGCTTTCTCCAGTAGTGTCTTCTTGTCTGAATCCGAAGAGGAATATGCACAGCTCAACCACTGTTTACAAGCAGAAACAGTCCAAAACATTTCTAAACAAATATGTTGGTGGATTTTGTTATGAGAGGACAACAGGGGGTGGACTTTTTACACTGGAGGAAGCGTTATTATGGTTATTATGGATTATGGTTTTATTGGACAAAAGTGATGGTTTAAAGTTAATGATGGGTTTGTTTCTTACAACGACATGGCTTTCACAAGACATTAATTGATGGAGTCGTGTGGATTATTTTGATGCTCTCATTCTGACGGCACCCATTCACTGCAGAGGATCCATTGGTGAGAAATAGATGTAATGCTAAATTTCTCCAAATCTGTTCTGATGAAGAAACAAACTCATCTATATCTTGGATGGCCTGAGGGTGGGAACAATATCAGCAAATTTTCATTTTTGAGAGAACTATTCCTTTAAACTTATTAGTGTCTGTTAGTTGTCAAGAAAGTTGCCTGTCACTCTCATCCAGTCCATTTCCATGGACTGACCCTCTCTTAGTTATACATCTAAGAGCAGGAGTTATGCCTCAGTTTATACTACACCACATCTAATCTTGCATATTATGAATTTACAAGCTTTCGCTATACAAACACTTAATATGTTTGCAATATGTATCACATTGCTATTAATCATTAAACCTCCTGGTATATGCACATATACCTGCCCACATAGAATTATAAAACAAACAGCATTGTGATTCTAATGACACAAATGCAAACATGTTATCTGCAACATCAGACTAAAACATTACAGCAAAAGCAGCATAAGCTAATCAGTCCTTTGGGCATCACTGGCTCATTTAATGATGGCAGAACAATGGTGCGTTGACCCTAGAGCCCGCACTCTCTTCTAATCAACAAGCCCACATATAAACACACTATATACCAGAAGCACTTAAGCAAATGATTCAGGCTGTATAGATCTCATTCACACAGGATTTATCTGTCTGACTGAAGCAGTATTTAGGGGATAAAATCCCCATCGCATCTGAAGGGTTGAGAGAGTGCACTTGTGGTGACACCAGACAGACAACCTGATCATTCAGAAATATCTGAGATGAGCTATTCCACAACAAGGGCATAAGGATGAAAAAAACCCCAGCTGAACAAAGACTCAGCAGTAACAAGTTCACAAGGACACTGACTTCAGCCTGTTTCGCACATCCTGCGTATGCAGCAAGTAAACAGCAGGGTCACGCTTTCACACTGACAGTGCTTCGGCGGCTCTAAATAAAGTGATTTCTGGGTTATTACATTGCATTTTCTTTTTAATAAAGGCTAAAATGTTTAAAATGGTTATTGGAAGTGTGCAATTAGGAATTATTACTTTAAATGAAGAGGTGACTGCATTTGCATCCAAATGGCAATTTGCATGAAAGCCAAACACCTTTGAAATTTAGAATTTCTGATTCAGATTTACTGAACATACACAATGACAGACATCTTTTATAGGCTTAAAAAAAAATAATCAATGACTATAATGCTAATAAATAAATAAATAGATTGATCCTGCATTTTAAACGTGTTTTGTGCTGTGGGATCTGGCATGAATGTGGTTCATATTCGGTTCTTAACTGAACTGCATTTACTTTCAAATGCATGGTGTGATCAGGGTTCCGATCGTACTTATACACGCAAAATGCAAATCTGCACTTTATTACTAACTAAAACATCTCTGTCATTTACCGAATTTAAAACGTCGGGATCATTCAACATGCATTCTAGCCTTTCTTGCATTTCCTTTCTTCACAATCCACGATTAACGGAAGCTGAAATTAAGTCAATGTAAACGTTTACAGCGCTCTCTTTAAGAAGAAAACTTAGAGATTTCTGTATAAGACGGTCAAATACTTTGATAGATAATGTGATATTGATTGATACTAATTAATAAAATAGCTCAGTTGTTATTGCGAGAGCAGAATAAAGAGAAAAGGCAAAGAATACGCGATATTGCACTGAAAATGCCTATCAATAGCACAATTTTTTTTATTTTACGTGCTATTTATTCACAGAAACTGACTTTGGCGTGCATATGAAACGCACGTGTTTGACGTGCATATAATTCACAGTTTTTGCGTGCACATGATACGCACTTTGTTGGCATGCATATAATACGCATTTTGGCATAGGCCTACATATAACACACACCTACCCCACACACCTAAACCTGCCAACTGTGAATAGGTGCACAGATATCCAAGAGATATTAAGAAGAATAAGTATACGTTAAATTCAGTATGATATGAAAATTCATCCTGTTTTTTGGTAAAAAAACGCGATTTTTTTTTAATTGTGCCATTTTCTTCCAGTGAAAACGACAGGCTTCTCTCTGGTGACTAATACAGGATTTCACCAATCATTTAGTCCACTTAAATTCCACCCCTCCAAGACTGACTGCAAGTTAGCATTTATTTTGAGCGCAATGGTCACATCCCAAAATCCCATCAACAGCCGATGGCTAGAACCAAGTCCCCGCTCTGCATTTCATTCTATTTCGATAAGCTGTTACACTTGCATGGGGGTACATCACAATACAGAAGAAAATATCAGTTGCTGCTTTCATTTCATTGCTACATTAAATATCTACCTATCTATACCTGTCTGCAACTTAATCAGCGACGACAGACGTAGTATAATATGAAAAGAACAGCAGTTAATGTAAGGACAGCACAAATGTCAGTGTAAATGCTATAACCTGTTAATATAGCCAGTGAAAAAACTACACACTGCAGATGCAGGATGCATAAAACAGGCCTTATGAAGCACTTCATGTTCGTGTAGTGAGGCCCTCAGGGTCATTTTTGATTACAAAAATGCCTTACAGCAACATAATCACGAGTCGATTTTGGTTCAACAAGAACGTAAGCAAAAATCTCTCCTCGGTCTAATAATCACTGCATGTGCAAACTGTAAAAAAAGCTAACCGTATTGCAAATATAAACATTTCTGTCACTGTCATAATGGAAAGGTTCTCCCAAGGGGCTAGATCTAGGTTTAGATATCATAAAAACAAGCAGGTCGAACTGTAAAAGAAACACTCATTTAGCGTTGTTCTCTGTGGTGGATGCAGTAGTCGCAGTGGCTTTAGCTACTGTTGTTGCCAGTTTGCTTACTGAAGCTCCCTGATCGAGCTCCTCTGACTCCTCCCCCTCTGCTTCTTGCAGGGCGTGTCTGTGTGGTGGGCGGAGCCGGGATCTGTGTCTGTAGGGGTAGAGGAAGAGGGCGGGGTCAGGCATGGCCATCGGCTCCTCGGGGCCTGTCACCCTCTCGCGTGGCACACACTCCCTGGCGCGTTCGGTGCAGAGATTCGAGGAGAGCCGGCTCGAGCTCCTTCGTTTAGGTTTGATGGTGGTTGGGCTGCTGGCACTGGCCTGAGGCGAAGGGTGGATGGGAGGCTTGTCCGCACAGGGCTGGGCCAGCCTCCTGTGTTGCTGCAGCTTCTGCTCCTGGAGTTTCTGCTTGGCTGAATGCAGCTGGAAGGACAGGTACGCAGCCGCCTCCGTCTGCTTCTGCAGCTCGGTGTTGAGCGCAGTGGTCCTGTGGCTGCGGTGTTTTAATTCCTCCAGGAAATGGCGCTCCTTTTCCTTCAGACTGGCGCGGAGAGCACCCACCAGGACCGACTTCTGACTCAGCTCCCATCGCAGATCACTCTGGATCTGTTGTTGCTCCTGCAGATGCTCCTCCACCTCCCCACAACGAGCTTCCAGCTGCTCCTCTTCCTCTTTCACCTCTGGAATACATAGAACAGACACATTTACTGTAATAAAACTCGATTCAGTGTGATTAATGATTCAATGAACTACAGACATGGTCAGTTAGTCCAAGCACTGTTTATTATACAACTTTCAGAAGGTTGAGTTTTTACAGGAATATCTATAGGAAATGATAGTCATGGCATGATTGTTTCAAGTTCATCTTGAACAAATTAAATTGTCTTTGGAAGCCCCAAGCTAATTTGTCAACATCAACAGACAATCTTAGAGACATTTAGAATAAAATTATATTATATTGTATAGATAATATATTGTATATTGAACAAATATATTGCAGTATAATGCAATATATTATATTGTATAAATATCATTTAAATAATACTAAAATATTGTGTGACATACTTGTGATCTGTAAATCTTAAATATACTGAGAAATCAATGTTTTATCCACATTATCAACTTTATTCTACAACAATGTGAAATGTGAAAACATTTAAAAACATTGTTGAACTGTTCATTATATAGTGTCTATAAGATTTTAAAATGTTTTTGAATAAGGTCTCTTATGCACACCAAGCAATAATGTGAAATAATAACTGTTTTCTATTTGAATGTATTTTAAAACGTAATTTGTCCTGTGATGGCATAGCTTTATTTTCAGCAGTCACTGCTCCAGTCTTCAGTGTCACATGATCTTTAAGAAATTATTCTAATATGCTGATTTGCAACTCAAGAAATATTTATTATTATTATCAATGTCGAAAACAGTTGTGCTGCTTAATATTTTTGTAGAAACCATGATCCCCCCAGGATTCTGTAATGTATATAAAGTTAAAAAAAACTACAACATTTATTTTAAATGGAAAACATTTGTAACATTATAAATGTCTTTATTATCACTTTTGATTACTTTAATGCATTCATGCTGAAAGAAGTATTCATTCATTATAATTTTTAAATCTAGTGTATAAAATGTGTAATTAGGTATATGTACTTTTGAAAACTCTTTAAAATTTTTGACCTTTTTTGGGTTCAAGCCTTAAGTGGGGGGATCAAACCCCCCTGTAATTCACATCTAGAGTTTACCCCATGTTTAACATGCAGCTTAAACATAAACTAGAGAAAGTGAAGCTAAACACCATACTCTCTACTGTACAAATGAGTGTATGGTCTCATGTGTGATCCACCTTGTGACATGAAAACAGGCATGACTAGTATGTACAAGCCTCTCCATATAAAATCAGATTTAGCCGTAAAAGCAAATTTCAAACTAATCTGCGATCTAAAAGGTAATTGGATGTGGGAGAGGAAAGTAGACAAAAGGCTCTTCTGTGCCCAAGGATTACAGACTCACTGAGCAAATCCAAATCAACTTATCTCAACTCTGGTCTGGCTACTGGCAGGGTGTTCAGGGTTATCAGACGCATGAAATGTCTAGGACAAGACCTCCCTGAGCATGCTTAACTACGGTGCCCACAAAGCATAGAGCAAATATAAAGTAAATCACTGACACAGCAAAAATTCTCATTAGAAACTCACTTTGGAAAAACGTGTCTGCTAAATGAATAAATGTAAAGATATACTGCACTATTAACAAATCTTAAATCACTCTCATATTACTGTAAATTATGAGTAAGAAAATGTGCTATAGAAGTACATGGAAGTATAAAGAGCAGCTGCCATATAACATGCAATTTAACTACAATCAAACAAATGAAGGACAAAACATGTATTTTCCAGTTGAAAGCGTCTTTACACTCACATTAACGTAATGTCTTTCAGATAAATGACAGGCTAAGTAGACTGAAAATGAGTTACAGGAATCTGTGTCAGACGTTCTACACCTGATCCACATGAACCTGATGGCCTCGTACTGTGAGCTCAACATCTTTCCCTCATTTCTGTCTCTCTCGCTTTTTACATTTGATTGCAACTCTGCCAGAACACAGTTCTGTCTATCAGCTTGTCCAGAATGTCCTGAATTCACAGCCAGCCTATCAGTCCCACCCCATGCGTCCAGACTGAGATGAGCTCATAATGTGACTATAGAAAATGCTGTGTTATCCGATCCCTAAATCTGATCTCTCCACTGTTCCTCACTCTTTGCTGCCTCTGACTCTTTTAATAGAATGTGTAATGAAACTGAGATGTCGACAACAATCAGTTGACAAAGGCATTTGTGCAGATAAGAAGCGATAGACCTCAACAAATGATTAGAATTGTTCATTTAATACTCACATTGTGCAAGCAATATGCTTGTAAATTATGAAATAATTTCCTTCATCAAACAGTGTTTGCTCCTTTGCGCTTCTTTGAAGGCTAAACTAACACATCCAAAACATGCTGATGTTTGATCTCAGAAGAATAATCATTCACAGCAAAGAAGTATTACATTGTAAGCAGGCTTCGCTAGTCATGACGCAGCATCAGTTAACACGCCCTGTTTCTATTTTTGACATGCTGCAGTTATTTCAGCAGTTTATTTTTCCTGTTCGTGTGAAATAAAAGTATTTTATTTCAGCATTAAATCTTTCACTTTTCCGCTTGCCTGTGCATCTGCGTTCTGAACATACTGTTAGTATGTTTATTTTTTAATGACTGCAGGTTACACTGTTATGTCAGTAGGTGGTGACATGAGTTTATTAATTGAATCATTTAATCAACACAATAATTATTCAGGAACACAAGTGCTACGTATGTGTTGCTCAGTGACGTAAAGGTGTATTATACATTTGTTTAGAGTTATCATCGCTGGCAGAGCACAAATACATAACATTTTGGTAATAATGTGTCTTAAATATAAGTATACACATTATTAACTTATTGTTTATTGAACTGTTGTAGAAAAGAAATATCACGCAAACGATCTTGATGCTGGAAACTTTGCAAGTAGGCCAATTTACTTCGAACAGCTTTGTTGCAGTACGGAAGACATTAAAATAAAGGTATTCATTCATGTGACGGTAAAGCTGAATTTTCAGCAGCTGTTACTCCAGTTTTCAGTTTTTCAGTCACATGATCCTTACTATTATCAAAGTTGAAAACAGTTGTGTTGCAGAATATTGGATTCTATATAGAGCTTATATATATATATATATATACACACAATATATACACAAATCTGCAAAATGTTAATTATTTTACTAAAATAAGAGGGATCATACAAAATGCATGTAATTGTTTATTTATTACGTTCAAAAGTTTGATTCTTAATTCTGTGTTCTAACCTGAATGATCCACAGCTGTGTTTTTTTGTTTAGTGATAGTTGTTCATGAGTCCCTTGTTTGTCCTGAACAGTTAAACTGCCTGCTGTTCTTCAGAAAAATCCTTCAGGTCCCACAAATTCTTTGGTTTTCCAGCATTTTTGTGTATTTGAACCCTTTCCAACAATGACTGTATGGTTTTGAGAGCCATCTTTTCACACCGAGGAGAACTGAGGGACTCATATGCAACTATTACAGAAATTTCAAATGCTCACTGATGCTCCAGAAAAAAAAACATGCATCAAGAAAACTTTTGAACAGAATGGAGATGTGTACATTTTTCTTATTTTGCCTAAATATCATATTGTTCATTTAGTACTGCCTTTCAGAGGCTACAGAAGATAGTTACATGTTTCCCAGAAGACAAAATAAGTTAAATTTACCCTGATCTTCAAATTCAAAAAGTTTTCAAAAAGTATATGAAGAGTTTATTTGCAAAAACAGATAACTCTGTTTTTATACATTTTCATAAATCATGTTTTTTATTGTCATAATGTTTTTTATTGTGTTAGTTAGCTGTATTTTGTTTTAGTTATTATTCAATCAAAACAACCCAACTACAGTTTGATTGATATTAATTGGAATGCAGAATAAAACATGATTTTTGAACATTTTTAAAGTTATCGGTTTTTGCAAACTCTCTCTTTCTCTCTCTCGCTCTCTCTATATATATATATAAATAATGATTCTTTGATGAAAAGTTACAAACAAAAATTCCTACTGATGCCAAACTTGGTAGTGTATATTATGCTCATATTGTGGTAACTGGTTACATGATTAGTAAATTATTCACACAAATAGATTTTAAAACTCCCCACCACTGATTATAATTTACAAATCTCTTTTTTTCTCTACTATTCTTAGTTTTCTTGTGCTATTCCTCTCTGTCTCCTTGCTTAACTTTGTCTCAGCAAAAAAACAAGCTGTAATTGGACACCCCCACTGGGACTGTGCAGCAAGGAAAATGCAGGCAAGATCAATTTGTGGGCAGATGAGGCTGCGTCGGGCTGGAGGAGAGAGGGATGTCCTGCAGTATGGAGAGGAGTCGTCTACTGCTTAACAATGAGTGGCCTCTTAATGTGCGATTGGTTTGCTTTTTAGATAAATTATCACAAAGACAGTCATTTAAAAAAACATTTGCCTCAAATCTAATCACTTGGAAGATTATATGGAATTGTAACAACAAAAGAAGTGTCGAGTGGATAATTTTATTTATTATCAGTCACTATAATGTATTCATGCTTGCCAAAGTCTTTCAAATATGATCTAGTAACAAATATCAATATCTACCTAGATATATCATATAACCTAGATACTAGATGCTGTTGTATTAAATAGACTTACTGCTGTTGTTGCTGTATACAACTGAACACCCGTGCTAAAAATACAAAAACTCTGCTCACAAATACATGAAAGAACATTTTTTGGAAGGAAACAGAGCTCACCTGCTTCACTCCTGCCTGGGGGCTTCATGTTGAGTTCCTGTGTAAGTTCTGTAAGTAATAGACAGACACTGTTATTTCTAACCTTTTTTTTCTTTGTTAAAACATTTTTAAAAACAATACATTCAAGAATGAATATAGATCATGCTATACGTCCTAAATTAGTATTGGTTTTGAATTTATGTGATTCAATTAATTGTTTAGTGCATAAAATGTCCCACCCTGCATTTTACATTTCATTCGGACATGCGTCAGATTATGGATGTAAAAGCAATAAGAAGTAAAATAAGGCAATAATAATCTATTTTAATTAAACAATATAATTTACTCTACCATTCAAAAGATTGGGGGCAAAATGATTTTATCTTAAATAATGAATACATTTATTTAACAATGATGCAGTCAAATTGATCAAAACTGAGAGTAAATATATTTATAATGTTACAAAAAAATTATATGCTGGTCTTTTGAATTTTCTATTCATCACAGAATCATGAAAAAAATATCATGGTTTCCACAAAAATCTGTTAATAATCTATCTATTACTTTTGAAAATATATTAAAATGAATAACAGTTGTTTTTAATTGTAATAATATTCTACAATATTACTATTTTTACCATATTTATGACAGAATTAATGTTGAATATGACTTAAAAAACATTGAAAAATCTTACTGACCACAAACTCTTTAACGGTATATATATATATATATATATAAGAACTTTTTGGCCTTAATTCTAAGCGGTATGTTTAATGTTTAAATTAATGAGGAAAAAAAATTAACTTAAATGATTTTAGCAAATGGCTGCAATATAACAAAGAGTGAAAAATTTAAGGGGGTCTGAATACTTTCCGTACCCACTGTATATATAACAAGGGGTTGTAAAGGAAAAACTGATTTCCTGTGTTGCAGATACGGAGAAGGCTCTAAACTAGCATGATTTGTTGCTCTACAGGACAGAAGAGCAAAAAGATGAATATGCAGTGTGCTGGTTTTTCTGCCCTAGCTGGCTCAGCACATTTCCAGTAATGTTCAGGTAGAAAGGCCGTGACCTATATTACTGTGAGGGAAAACACAAACCCTGCACTGACAGGAAGCTATTGACCTGTGGTTCTCTCTGTGCAGCCTGTGCCATCAAAGTGAGCAACGTAACCCTGCTCTTCACTGCACAGGTTCTGTGCATCTAGTAGGGGTGGCGGTAAAAATCGATGCATCATAGTATCGCGATATTTTCCGCGGCAGTACTGTATCGATACATGGACGGCAAGTATCGATCTTTTATTATACTATTTCTTTACAATCCACTAGATGGTTGTGTTGAGTTTTTTTTTCTGGTGAGGTCAGCTGGGTCACCTTCAGCATGCAAGTTAGTAAAATAAAGAGGACGGCATTGCGGAAAGTTATCAGGAAAGCCCCGTCCGCGTTTAAATTGCTCAAATAACGCACTGACAGGAAATTTCTATGCAGTATAGGCCTACTTGTTTCGGTTTGCAGTAGCGCTACTGTGCTGTAACATGGTGTAGGCTAGTTCAGCTGTACTGGGCAATGCTGGTAAAATGATGCTACCTTCAGTGACGCTATGCTCTGCTCATATGCTCTGATAATAATAGCTTTGTAGGACTATACGTTATTTGGATAATTAGTCAAAAATAACAACAACAACTTATATCTGATTCTGTTACATAGAAGTGAATAAAAATAATATATTGATATTTAATATTAAGGTAACACTTTTCAGTAAGGTTCCATTAGTTAATGTTAGTTAATATTAACTATCATGAACGAACAATGAACAATACATTTATTACAGTATTTATTAATCTTTCTTAATGTTAGTTAATGAGAATACAGTTATTCACTGTTAGTTTGTGTTAATTCAGAGTGCATTAACTGTTAACAAGCACAACTGTTGAATTTAATAATGCATTAGTAAATGATGAGATTAACATGAACTAAGATTAGTAAATGCTGAAGAACTATTGTTCATTCTTAGTTCATTAACTAAAGTAGTTAACTAATGAACCTTATTGTAAAGTGTTACTAATATTAAAGGGGTCATATGATGCAATTTAAATTTTTCCTTTCAAAATTCTCCAAAAAAATCGCTAGTTTTATTTAAATATAGCTAAAACAGCTCCCTGTCGGAAAAAAAAAAAGTTGCAGCTACAATGAGAAAGTAGCTAAATTTGGCGACAAAATCCCCAAATTGGCAACACTGGCATCATCACAATGTGGTAAGGGGCGTAACATTTCCTTCACACGCTTGAGGTATTCGGCCAATCACAACGCACTGGATAGCTGGCCAATCACAGCACACCTCGCTTTTCAGACTGATGAGCTTAGTAAAAATCAAAGCGTTTCAGAAAGGCGGGGCATAGACGAGAAAAAATTATGTACAGTATGTGGAAAATAATGTTTTTTTGAACCTGAAACCGCATAAACACATTTCATTACACCAAATACACCAAATAATGTTATTTTTAGCAGCATCATATGACCCCTTTAATATAAATTCTGTCCATCTAGGGCACGGCAACTCAATTAGATTGTGTACCAACATTATTTTTGGAATGACATCGAATTAGTTGTGATTTATGATAAATAAAATGTTGCTCAATTCAATTATGCATGTTGTTTCATGTGTGTACAACAACTCAAAATCAAATGCAGGTGGCTGTACTGTGGGAATGGTCATGACACACACCTGTACAGCGTTTCTGGAGGGACAGGATCTCCAGATGTAGTCCATGCAGCAGAGACAGCTGCTCCTGTCTAAGGAACACAATACTCCTCTCCACACTCTCCACCTGCCGCTCCAGCGAGACCACCTGTGACCCCTTTAACAAACGAAACAGGGATATTTACAGTTGCCTATATAACGGTAAGTTCCAGTTCTCTAATGTAAATTTCCAGCATTCCGAGAGTTTTCCTTATTTATATCAGATCATCTATGGTTTCTCTCGCTCCATGATTGCTCTCATCAGTGAGGAAATGTAAAAGCTGGAGTCCATTATAAAATATTTTGTGTTGTAGTGCAAGACATTCAAACCAGAATGTTGAACAAGGCCCTGTAATAAGAGGGGACCACTAAGGTCCTATAGCAGTGGTTCCCAATCCTGGTCCTGAAGTAATTAATAATAATAATTCCTTACATTTATATAGCGCTTTTCTGGGCACTCAAAGTGCTTTACATAGAAGGGGGGAATCTCCTCAAACACCACCAGTGTGCAGCATCCACCTGGATGATGCGACGGCAGCCATATTGCGCCAGACCACACACCAGCTTATTGGTGGAGAGGAGACAGAGTGATGAAGTCAATCAGTAGATAAGGGGATTGTTAGGAGGCTATGATGGTCAGAGGCCAATGGGTGAATTTGGCCAGGATGCCGGGATTACACCCCTACTCTTTTTCAAAAGACATCCCGGGATTTTTAATGACCACAGAGAGTCAGGACCTCGGTTTAACATCTCATCTGAAGGATGGTGCTTTTTGTCTGTATAGTGTCCCTGTCACTACACTGGGGCTTTAGAACCCACACAGTCCACAGGGTGAGCACCCCCTGCTGGCCTCACTAACACCTCTTCTAGCAGCAACCTAGTTTTCCCAGGAGGTCTCCCATCCAGGTACTGACCAGGCTCAACCCTGCTTAGCTTCAGTAGGCAACCAGTCTTGGGCTGCAGGGTGCTATCTATGGCTGCTGTTTACCACCAACACGGCACGCTTTTGATGTCTCGCTTATGGGACACACATATTTGAGGTCTTGGAGTCTTTACAAATTAACTGATGAGTTGAACCAGGTGTGTTTGATTAGGGAGACATCCACAATGTGCAGTGTTGGAAGTTCAACAAGATCAGGATTGGGAACCACTGTTCTGTAGTATAGCCTACTCACTGGGCATCCATACCGGTTTGATTCCGGTCCCCATGAATTTTAGCAGCAGTTCGGTTGAAATATACACTAGGGTCAGCAAATGAATGGGGGCTTGGGACATAATGCCAACAAAAGTGACAAAAATTACCCTGAAATGCCAAATGTTGTGCAAAAAATTGTGTATCTATTTATTTATTTTGCAGTAATAGTTTATTTGATCTAATATTATATCCTAATAATCCAAGCTGATTATGCTAATTTCATATTAGGTAACAGAATTACTCATTTGAGAATTGACTTGCTTTAAATGAAAGTATGTGAAAGATAAAAGAAAAATGCACCTTAATAAAAAAATTTAAAAAAAAAAAAAAATTTTTCTCTTCTACCTGATCGGACCCCTTGAAATGACTTGTTGTTGAATAACAATAACACGTTTGACCTGAATAAAAGCAGTTATTTGGTTGTTAAACACATTTTAGATTTTAATTTTTTTTATTAATTTTATAATGTTTACAATATAATTTATATTTTTAAATTATTTTTATTGATAATTTGAACATTTAATCTTTACTTGATCTTAAGTGACACAAACGAAACTTCTGAGCGTTATTGTGCTTATTATAAACACCCACAGATGTTATTAGAAACAATTTATGTTCGCAGACACATTATGTAATATACATCCCACTGTAAAATATTTCAGCGTAAATAAGCTCCTGATTAGTCACTCTTTCCCATATAACGTGGCCATAAAAGCCTTTGATAACACTGCGCATAACAGGCTATTATCCAACACTCACCGTATTTTCCATTAGCGCGGCTTATATTAGTATCCAACAGACGAGGCGTTATAATGAAGAGAATGAACGTGCTCCTTCACCTCCACATCTCTGCCCTTCAAAGAACCGACCCGTCAACATATAGGATGACGACATCTTTAAAAAAGATCAAAGAGGTTTCGCGAGAAGGACGAGATTTCAATCCTCCGTTATCTTGGCCAGCGTACAATCGCTGCCTGTATCCCACAATGCCACGCTCGATTAAAAGTGATCCGACGTTTAGCTGGCACAAGCGTGCTCGTGAGTCCTGCGTCTGCTGAACGGCATCATCCTCATCCTCGCGATGACAGACAGACGGACGGACAGACAGACAGACAGACAGACAGACAGACAGACAGACAGACAGACAGACAGCAGGAAGCGGCTCCTTCAGCACCAGAAACAGAACTCTCCACTGCACATCCCGTCTCACAGGCGCATCTCCAGCGGTGCTTTGCAGTCGTCCATTGAGCTAAAGCGCATAATGTATTAGGCTACAAATCTCTAAATAAACTGAGCTGAAAAGTACAGCTGAATTATAGCTACGTTTAGTTCCAGTCCTCGAATTTGATTGGCTGAGCGGCCTTCCAAGAATATTTCATTAGCATATTGACTGCTCTCTGTTTGTATAACTGGAACCAAGAGTATGCATATTGAATTATTACATTTTTGGCGGATTATTAAATTTTTAGTTTGTTGTTATATAGGCTAGTATATGCATTTTAGAGTCAACAAATAAACAAATAAAACAAGTATAACTACATTAAAGTTGTTTAATGTTATATAAATCATAAAGGATTTAATTTAAATAATAAAAGGATTAACAAATTCTATTTTATTCTATATTATAAAGTATATTATCTTCCCAACTTCTCAAAATAATACTCTCAAATAAAGTGTTAATAACGTTTTATTTCACGGTTAACAATATAAAGGTCATATACAAATAATTTTTTATATTAATTACAAAACAATAATTCATCCAAAACAAAAATAAAATGATGCTATATGCATTTTAGATACAACTGTTTAAAACTTAAATGATTAGGCTAACTAAAACAGCAAGCGTTAAAAAAAAAGAAAAAGGAAAAGACTACCTTTTTCTTTTTGTTGTGCTCTCCTGGGGAATGGGCATATACGTATATCTATCTTTTTCCAGCCGTGATTTTTTTCCTTTTTAATTATGGCTTTGGAAAACACTGCAACACTACGCTCAAAAAATCAGATCCACAATACAACAGTAGTTTATCTTTCAAACACAGTACAGAATTGCACTCTCAAGTGAAGGACAACCGCATTGCTGAAATCTTTCAAAAGTTGTCAGTCACATTGGTTTTCTCTCAAAAACTAAAATGTACACATTTTTATTTTTTAAATACATTTAAATACAGATACCGGTTACTTCATTAAGGAAGCACATATTCAAGCACATAGACTCAATATGAAGCTGCCAACAGTAAAAAAAAATTTTTTTTTTTACTATTTCAGTGCACGTTTATTTTTCTATATTTCACTAGCTTTCAACTTTTTACTTCCTTAATTATTAATCACTCTTACAAACAGTAAAAATAAGCAAGGAGTACACCAGATTAAAACTTAATTAAACGTTATGAATAAACTTGGGTGCTTTGAAAAACTAGTTTTGTGGCACAAGTCGGTGATGCTACATGCGGTTACAGTGCATCAACTTTCCCACCGGACAGACAGACCACTCTTGCCTATAATTCAATAATAATCAGAATTCAGTCTACAATCTCAATGGCACTAAGTATATAAAATAAGGCTAAACAAATCAATGCCTTTACTTTAGTGCATCTGACTAAGACCGTTCTTTGTTAACCACCAACAAAATCACAACATCATTTTGCTCTTTTTTTTGTTTTGCAGTTTGCCTCCAACCATAACAATCAATGATATCAAGTACAAATACATTACAAATCTACAAAATAAAACAAAAATAAACAGAATTACAAAGCTTTATAAAAAAAAGATTTCAGCTCATTTAAAGCAATATAAGTGCTGCTTTAATCATCGCCTCTCTATAGACTAAGTATTAGCATAAGCTAACATGAGGTCTCTGTTGTGTGTGTGTGCAGTGCCACCTACAGGCATGATTTGTGCAATGACAGTCCTGTCAGATCTCAAACCTCACATGCATTGTTCCGTTTCATTGTAAGAAAGAGCAGGAGTGTTTTCCTGATAGCCGCTGTGAAGACTGCAGCATCGAGATTCAGATTCTCCACTTAAAGGGCAACAGATCAATTGAGAATAGTGGTATTCATCCACAATGTAAAACGAATTAAAGTTTAGCTAATTAAATCCGACCCCACCCAGTAGTGAACACTGGGCACATCTTGTCCAAGGTGATTTCATTCATTATCACTAGTCAGTACAGAGAATTTCAGCTAAAAACAATCTCTAATGGAATTCCATCAGATTTAAAGAGACAGTTCACCCAAAATGTAAATATCTGTCATATGGCTTCAGAAGTTACAGTACTTTTATGTTGTTTTTGGAACATGACAGTCCCGGTCACCATTCACTTACATTGTACGGAAAAGAGCAGCGAGAACATTGAACAAAACATCTCCTGTTGTGTTCCACAGAGGAAAGAACTTTTTAATTTGAGCGAACTGCCCATTTAAAAACTATATAGAATTAGGATGATACTGCTACAAGCTCACGAGGTACCCAAACTTTGTATATATATTTTTCCCCCCGTTTTTTTAAATCCCACATATGCAGTTCCTATTTGAGCAGAATATTTGCTTACATTTAATAGATAATGTATACATTACATGGGGTAGCATATGATTTGATAAAAGGTAAACAGATCAAGTTCATTAGAACTTATAACATTTTGAGTCATTGTATAAATCATGCAGGAGTATTTGAGCATAAGGTTGCATATGTCATCCATGTCAGACAACTGTAAACCTGTGACAACAGCCATCCTAATCTTAGCACAACTTGAGGTCTTTAAAATGACTAAACTTTGATCTAGTTGACGATCAGGTGTTACAGGAATGAAGTCAGCCGGTTGAAAGGAACTTTTCCCCCAAAGTCTGGAAATGGTGGCGATGAGAGCGGATTTGGTTGGAGCTGAAGCTGGAGTGGGAAGAGTCCTCTTCCTACATTTCTTTCTCCTTGTCTTTCCTCGCCTCCTTCTCACGGCTGGACTTCATGAAGTCACTTCTCATCAGGCGGTAAAACAACACAATGTTCATGACGGTCATGATGGCCAGACCCACGCTGCCGATGGTGTAGCTGATCAGGGGGACGAGGTCACGATTGAGCACCAGCCAGCGGGTCATCCAGGCCAGAGTGTTGATGCGAAACACTACATAGGTGCCCAGGTTTATCATGCTGTTGACACGGTAAAATGTACTTTTGGCCAAGCTGGCCATGCAGAGCACTTGCCTCAGGTGCAGAAAGATTGAATTGATCTCCACCAACAGAGCCACCACGGCAAAACCCACATACCGACAGGTCAATACAGAGATCCCAAAACAGGTGATCACCTGCAAACAAAAGAAATTGAGAGGTTTCAATAATAGCAATGCACTAAAATATTGGCCAAGGAAAACTTTAAAGGAATAATTCACCCAAAAATTAAAAAAAGTTCATTTATTATGGATAGAGAACTCGTATTTTAAAAACATCCTGATGGATTTATTACAGACACACAGCTTTTCACTACATAAGACGTTAATTGATGGACTGAAGTTGTGTGGGTTACTTGTGAACTATTGTGATGTTTTTATCAGCTGTTTAGACTCTCATTCTGACGGCACCCATTCACTGCAGAGGATCCATTGGTGAGCAAGTGATGTAATGCTACATTTCTCCAAATCTGTTCTGATGAAAACAAAGTCTTCTACATTTTGGAGGGCCTGAAGGTGAGTACATTTTCAGCAAATGTTCTTTTTTTGGTGAACTATTCCTTTAAGATAACTGTCATTTTCAGCTCTCAGCTACAAGGTAGAAAAATGTGAACAGAAACAATTACTTTAACATTCAATTACAGAAGAGTGTGAAATGATCCAGGTGTAACTGGCTCTAATGATGGATGATACATTGACAGAAAAGAGGTTGTGTTCGCCTGTGAGAATATTCAGCGCAACATCAAGCAAAACATGAAGGCAGAGAAACTTCTGTTATTCAAGAACTTGCCACACTATTACCTGAAGCAAAAGAAAAGAAGCTTTTTATTTGTATATTCTTAAGCACTTTTTGTAGTGGATACATTTGCTAATATTAGCCAAAAGCCAGTTTGGGCCAGATTTATTTTGAGATCAGCGTTTAGTATTCTAGTTTCTCCACACCTCAGTGTCTCAGTTTGGAGTTTGTTTAAAGTCAATTGCATTGAACAACACATGCATACTTGTGCTGTGATTATAATCTATACACATCTGTACAATATTTTTAAACATATTATATTATATTTTTATTATAATGATTTTATATTCTTTAAATTAATTTATTAGTTGTTCATAATAACTTCAAAAAATACAATTGTTGATATTTCCCTTGTTTCCAGAATTTTTGGTTGAATTTCCACAGCTGCCCATTAATTTCAGGTTCAGTACATTTATTACATTATGTGTCCAATTTATTACAAATATTACCTTTAGAAACAATATTTCATTGTAATATGATTTTTTAAAAGCATTTTTAAAGATGTTGTTTGTCATGTTCATTCATCTATGGAAAAAAAATTAAGTTTAAATAGGCCAGTTAAGCCATACACAGACTAATGTGCTTAATTTCAGCAGCAACTCTTTCGTCTTCTCAACACTAATCTGCTGTGAGGCAACGAGAAACAAATGAGCGTGTGTTTTGTATCATCTGATAACAGCAGGGAGAGGCTGCGGACAGGAATACAAAGGCTCTGTTGATCAGTCCTAAACGCAACAGGACAACAGTCAAAGCCAACACCACAAATGACACTAATCCTGCAGGAGTTCTACAGTTCAAACAAATCCTAGTAATGGCATTGGTCAATATTACTACCATTGGTCAGTATTTTATGCATTAATCAATAAGCATTTATAATAATTCTTAAATAAAGAATACTAAGTCCTGAATCAAACCAACAAGCTCTGAAAATAACCATAGCAAAAAACCAACAACAACATTGATTTAAATCTGTGACTGTGTATGTGACATCTCTTAAAAAAGTGGAACAATATTAAAATATGAACTTATATTTATCGATACAGTAATCTTTTATGAACAGTAAAAATATTTTCAATCCTTTTTCATCCAAAAGGAAATTTGTAAACATTTTTATGATCCTCCACTAGGTGGCAGTCTATGCCTAAC